CATTGTTTAAGAAATTCTCCCTTACCCAATGATATGAAGATATTTGCCTATATTTTATTTTAAAGTTCTAGAGAGTTATATCCTTAACTTTTTAACGTACCTGGAATTGATTTTTTAGTATAGTGTGAGATGGGAATTTTATTTATTTTTTAACATGTAGATAAACTTTTATTGAGTGACCCATCATCCTTCTCACACTGGTTTTTGCATACTCATGTGGGTCTGATTCTGGGTTCTGTTGTGTTTTGTCAGTCTTTTAATCTGTCACTTCCCATGTATCACATTTAGTTACATAGCTTGATGATATGGTGGGCAAAATTCCCTTCCCTTGTTCAGAATTATAAAGTTTTTATTGATTTTTCTTTTTTCTTAAAAACTTGTCAGAGGACATACGCGCTTGCCAGAGAAAGGAAATGAGAAGGCATCCCCTCATGGGAATGCTGCAATCCCTTCTCCATTTTTCCCTCTAGTCAGAATTTGGGACCCACATGTACTTGTACCCAAGGCGTTTCTTAAGTTACAAGGTCCAGGACTCAAACTGCTCAGCTGACCATGTGGAACCTAGCCATCTTCACCACCACACCACAGGCTAGCCCAATTTTGTTCTTTGGTGTGATTTTAGGATTTATTTTTGATGTTCTACATTGAGGTTTTGATCGGGGTGTGATTTTAGGATTTATTTTTGATGTTCTGTGAAACACTACATTGAGGTTTTGATCGAAACTGAGTTAAGTACATAGATTAAAATTGGGAGAATTCACTTTTTTACTATAGGAAACTTTCCTTACAAGAGCAAGGTATCTGCATTTTTTTTTAGATCAAGTAATTTTCTAGTTATTGGTGCAAAATAATTCAATTAGTGCACTTGAATCTGTGTGTTGATTTTGTATCCATCAACCTCGCTAAAAGTTCTCATTAGTTCTGCTTGTCCTTATTTAGCATCTCCTGTGCGAGGGGTCTTTATTCATTATGAGGTTCAGCTTCCTTTAGTGAAACCATTTGTTGGTCAGGACACTCTACTAACACCATTGTCTTTCCTAGCCACATTCTACTCGCTGTCTCAGCCATCTTAAATCATTCTTAGAATAGGCAGGTGTGATGGTTTGTCCCCCAAAAGTTTCCTATTTTTAAACTGGATGTTGGGCGCTAGTGAACCTAGTGAGCAGTGACTGGATCGTGGGGATTACATCCTGGAGAAAACATTCTCGTGGATCAATTAATGAAGTCTTGTGCACTAGACCCAGTGAGTTCTAGCTCTTGTGAAAGGGTTTAGTTCTTGCAAGTGTGGTTGCTATAAGAGAGAGTGCTGCCAGCAGCTTGCTCTCTCTGTGTGCACCTGTCATCTCTGTGTTTCTCTTGGCCATGTCATAGGCCGGCCTGATGCCAGGCCTGTGCCTTTGGGCTTTTCAGCTGCCAGAACTGGAGTCAATAAACCCGTATTTCTTTACAAATCTCCCAGTCTCAGTTTTTTCCGTTAGCAACACAATAACAGACTAAGACAGTAGGTTATAAATAAAACCTCTCCCCTCAGCTCCCAGGGTCATTCCTTGTTCTACTTTTCTGACCATGTTTTGCAGTCTTTGATGCTGGCTCTCTCTTTCCTGCACCTCTTCTCCAGCCTTCTTGGGAAAATTATCAAATGCACAGCTTCACTCACCATGTGCCCATGACTCCCATAATCTGTAACATTTTCCTGGAACTCTGGTTAGATTGCAAGCTTCTTTAGCATGCAAATTTCATTTTTCATACTTGAGCATAAAAGTGTTACGAAATGTCTGAAGAGAGCACAAATACATCTATAAAACAGCATTTCCACCCCCAGTGTGAAGTAACTGAATGATGGTAATTAACACATCTATCACCTCAGATACTTTTATGTATGTGGTGAAAACATTTTAAACATAATGCTTTGTTTTCCATTGTAGCACTAACCACTGGCTTCCTTCATATATTAATTTATTATCTTAATTATTCTTAATTATCTTGGAAGCTCCATAGAGCAGGGAGCTTATTTTAATGCTATTAGTACAGCACTTGGAATAGTACTTGGCACAACAGGTATTTATTAAATTAATGAAAATATCAGAAAACAATATAGTATGAGGAGAAAGAAAGGTAATTTAAAGCATTTTTAAGTTTGTCATACTTGGGTAAAGGGTAGAGGTATTTTATTAATTTTTTACTTTTAGGATCAATATGTTGAAAATGAAGAGGTAACAAATTAAATGCAAACAGAATGTGTAACTTAAAAATAAAGGTAAAGATCCCGTTGTGGTGTGCACTGGTAGACGCTGCTATTCTGGAGACTGAGGCCACACAGAAGGTATAGGTTTGATTCCTGGCCCCTAAAAGCCAAGTATGGTAACACTTGCCTGTAGTGCCAGTTTCTTGGGAGACTGAGACAGGAAGATTGGGACATAGAAAGATCCTATCTTTAAAAGAGAGAGAGGGAGAAAGAGAGGGAGGGAGAGAAGGAGAGAGAGAAAGAGAGGGAGGAAGAAAAAATTGAAAAGGAATAAGAAAATTTAACAATTCAAAAGGAGCTGGGCCCTACGTAGCTGAGCAGGAATCCTGGTCCTAGGGGCTTGGAAAAAAACACACAGGATGCAGGTACATTCATACCCCAAATCCTAACAAGATAGAGAAATACAGGAAAGGGGATTTTGGCAATACTATATGCTACTACAGGATGTCTTTTCTCTCCCACTCTCTCCCACTTCCCTCCTCCCTCCTCTCTCCCTCTCCCTCTCCCTCTCCCTTTCCCTCTCCCTCTCCCTCTCTCTCTCTCTCTCTCTCTCTCTCTCTCTCTCTCTCTCTCTCTCTCTCTCTCTCTCTGGCACATGTTCTCTGGCAGTAAAAGAAAAATGGAAAGGGAATTTAAAATAATAGAAAAACTATAAATATATTGGGTTGTCAAAAAAGTCATGATGTATTTTTGCATAGAAATATATGTCATGACTTTCCTGACAATCTAATAGCACAAAATGAAATGATAGAAATAAATGCTAATACCACCAGTTATTAGTGTTAAGATAAAAAGATTAAATGTATACATTAAAAGGTAAATTGTCAAGGTGAGTGAATGGGGAAGTAGGAATGTTGTTCAAAAGGAGATGATGATCAGAGGATACTAAATTTGAGTGGGACAGGGAGAATAAGATTTAGTGATCTATTGCACAGAAGGGTCACTTTCCCCATCAGCTGTCTATGGTGGACATGTCATACACCACGTTTTAGTGTGTACCTATTACATTTATATCAAAACTTCACTTTTGTACAGTTCCTGTAAAAGTAGACTCCTCACTCTAGATCCTCTACTAATTTAGATCATTTTTTCCCCTTATAGAGTTTTTTTTAAATCACTTATTTAATTTTATTTATCCATTTATTTATTTTAATTTGACCAAAGAGAGAGACACACATAGAGAGAGTGAGAACATGAGAAATCAAGCCACCAGGTCTGGGGACTCGAACCGTAGTGGGCCATGTGGTATTGTCCAGTGCCTTAACTACCATGCCACCTGCCATTCCCCTCCCCTCAGAGGATATTAATCAATATTAATCTAAATCAGTTCATTGTAAGTTGCAGAGTAGTATATCCGGATTTTTTTTTTTTAATTGTAGCAGCAGGATACCCATTAATCAGTGAGGATTTGGTCTTCTCGTGTAACAAAAGTTCAGACTTCAGAAGGAGTCATGGTTGGGACCAGCAGTTAGTGTAATGGCTATGTCACTGGACTCCCATGTAGACAACCGTGGTTTGCGTCCTGGACCTGGTGGCTTAAAACTCAGCCGGGCATGTGTGCATGCATGCCCGAGATCCTGAGAGGAGAATGGAGGAGAAGGGATTGCAGTGTGGCCATCCCCCCTGGAGGGTGATTTCTCGCTTTCTGTCTGTCTCTGTCTGTCTGGCGAGCGCATGTGCCCTCTAGCAAAATCCTCTCCAAAAATAAAGAAGGTGTCACGGTTGTTCTGGCCCTGTGATATCGTCAAGGTGCCATGTGCTTTTCCTGTTTTCACTTTGTTGTCTTCAGCATGGTGATGATGTCTTCCCTCATGGGCTCAAGACGGCTATAGCACTTCTACATGTGCCATATAAACCCTATCCAAAAGTGGAAAGGTATAGTTTCTCCTTCAGCATCTCTAAGAGAGCATAACTTTCTTTTTTTTTTTTTTTTTTTTTTTTTTGAGAGATTTTCACTGTAGGGTGTGTGCGCTCGCCAGACAGACAGAGAGAGACATAGAGACAGAAAGCGAGAAATCACCCCCCAGGGGGGATGGTCACACTGCAATCCCTTCTCCTCCATTCTCCTCTCGGGATCTTGGGCACGCACGCACACGCGCCCGGCGTGAGTTTTTTTTAAGCCACCGGGTCCGGGACACGAACCGCGGTCGACTGCGTGGGAGTCCAGCGACATAGCCATTACGCTAACTGCTGGTTCCGAGAGCATAACTTTTTCAGAAAGCTTCTAACAGATATCCCCATGTGTCCAATTGTCAGGATTTGGTTCCTTGCACTGGTAAGAGAAATAGAATGGCTGTCATTGGCTTAGACCAATCAGGACCATCCAGGAATGGGTAGCCCACTAGCCTACTTAAGTGAATGACCACTTAAATTCATTAGAGTCTAGTGTAGTGAAAAATGGGATGGTATAAGGAGCAAACAGTACCTGCCACAGGTGTTATCTGTGTCTTTGACCTTCTCACCTAAAAGTTACTATCCTCATCGTTTTCTAAAAGGAGGAAAGAATAATTTTAATTGTATATTATTTTCACTGAGCTTGGTGTTGTGTTTCAGTAATTCATTTTTATTGACTCACTCATTCCTATAAGGATACCATATTACCTGAACACCTGTTTTGTGTCAGGTTCTGTGCTCTGCATTGTGGAAGTAGCTGAATAAGGCACGGCACTGAACTTAGGTGGTGACTGCGGTAAGGGGGGAGGTTACCACAGTAACTCTGAAATAAACTGACTTTAGGAAATTTATTTTTTAACAGGAAATGTGGGACATGTGGATTTGGGATATGAATTCATTTGAAAAACCACTGTGGGGTAAGTTGATAGTTGGGAGTGAATGACTTCAGGGTGGCACTTCTCCTTACCTTGGGCTTTGATCTTACAGTTCTGTAAATTTCAAAGCTTACGTTGACTGGACGCATGCCTCATGTACATGCAAGAGAATGGCTTGTATTAAAATTCCAGTTTAGTAATTTGAGAAAGGTAGGTATAAACCATAGTCCCAGTATTAATAAATTAGTACATTCATTTCTTATTAGGTAGGTTCAATTTGAAGATGAAATGAAAACCAGGTTCAGAACTTGAATGATCCTTATAGGGTCTCACCTGTCTGAGCTTACCCATTTATCCTGTCATGTCATCTGGAAGTCATTCAGAGCCCACGTTGAAGACAGAGTTCCAGTATATCTGTGAGTTTTTCTTTACAGCACTCCAAATGACCATTTGAATTCTTACTTACTCTAGGTTTTTGCTAGAGGAGCATGTGTTTACCAGAGACAAAGAGAGGGAAAGTGAGATCACCCTTCAGGGGGCTGGTCACACTGCAATCCCTTTTCCTTTTTTCTCCTCTCAGGATTTGGACATGCTCATACATGCACATGGAGTGATTTCCAAGCTGCTAGGGCTGGAGCTGAAACCACAGTCAACTATGTGGGAATCCAGGGCTTCGACCACCATATCACCTGCTGACCCCAGGCCATTTGATTTCTTTTTTTTTTAAGTCTTAATTTTTTTAGAATTTAAAAAATTTAGTTTTACTCATCATTGTTATTTATATATTTTATATGTTTTAATTTTATATTTTAATTATATACAAAATATATATTTTATTTTATATATTTTCATTTGAGCAGAGAAAGTCACAGAAAGAGAGAGAGGGAAAGTGAGAAAGCAAGCTGCCAGGTTCAAGACTTGAACCACAATCAGCCATGTAGGAGTCCAGTATCTCAACCACCATGCCATCTGCCAGCCCCTTTTTTATTTTTAAAAGAGATTTTTGCTGTAGGGCACATGCGCTTCCTGGGGAGACAGAGACAGACAGACAGACAGACAGAAAGCAAGAAATCACCCTTTAGGGGAATGGCCATGAACAGACCCCTTTCCCTCCATTCTCCTCTTGGGATTTTGCATATGCATATTTGCATATGCATATGTGCCAGGTGTGAGTTTTAAGCCTCTGGGTCCAGGACTCAAATTGTGGTCAACTACATGAGAGTCCAGCGACGTAACCAATACACCATCTGCTGGTCCTGCCATTTTATTTCTTATCACTTATTAAAAGTTCCCCGACTATTTGTTTCATCTAGGGAATTACTTCTGAAATATCATTTAATATTTATTGAGTGCATTCTCTGATGTATGAGTATATTGTACACTTGTCATTTAACTTAGTACAATGGAACTATAAAGTGGTTATATTTTTCTCACTTAAAGGAATAGAGAAGCTCAAATTTTTGCAAATAAAGTAATATTGCTAGAGCCATGTAACTACTGTGTGTGGAAACTGAAATTTCAGCATTTGGCCTAATAGACACTTCTGTTTTTAATATGCTATTTGTGTTGGGATTCACAAGACCACCCGAAGTTCAGCAATTGGCTAGAAGGCTCACAGGATTCAGGTTTAACAGCTAAGGTTTATTACAACAAAAGAATACAAAGCAATGTCAGCAACAGGAAAACTACATGGGATGAAGGTCCAGGGAAAACAGCAAACACGTGTAAGCTGAAGCTTCTTCTCCCTATGAATTCACATGCAATATGCATAATTCATCCAGCATCAAATTCTCACAGCACTTCTGAAATATTGTCCACCCATATACCAGCCAGGCCAACCATGCCTTTCTAAGAATAGCAGTCAAAGGGCCAGCGGATGGTGTAATGGTTATGTTGCTGGACTCCCACATGGCTGACCATGGTTTGAGTCCTGGACCTGGTGGCTTGAAATTCATTCTGGGCATATGTGTGTGCATGCCCAAGATCCTGGGAGGAAAATGGAGGAGAAAGGATTGAGTCATGGCCATCCCCCAGGGTGTGATCTCTTGCTTTCTGCCTCTCTGGTGAGTGCATGTGCCCTATAGCAAAAATCTCTCACCAGAAAAAAAAGAAAGAAAGAAAAAAATGAATAGCAATCATAGGCCTGCTATGTTAACTTCTTTCCTGTGTACTGATTTATTTATTTAAAGAGATCATATAGCTTGTGACAAATAATGAGAACAGTGTGTGCTATGGAAAATCAAATTCTTTTGTGGTGTCTGTTGTAGGTGGTCCAGTCACCACTGATTTGTTAGAAGCATTCACATAACTTGATGTAAAGCCGTTCTCATGACTAAGATTAATCATGGCAAAGGATGCAATGTAAGAACAGCAGAACCAAGATAAATGCAGGTGAATGCTCGAGAGGGCAGGCACAGGCTTTCACATGCTCCTGTGAGAATTATGTGGACACGCTTTCTCTCCAGCCGTGAATGATAGAGACACATACAAGATGTCACTAGCCAGAGAAGCACAAAAGTGGTAGAGTCCAGAGGTCTGACAGGAAACAGGTCACATAGGTACATTCTTGGGCTATGACCAGTCCTGGTGACTGAAGCATGAGACCCCAGGCCATCTACCAGGTGCACATCATAAATCTTGATGAATACTTTAGTGCTGACAGCTTGGTATGTCCTGACCCACTGCCTGGAACACAGAGAGTACGATTATTAATCAGTGACTGCAAACATTGCAGGAGTCTAGTCCTTAGAGTTTGGCTCCGGGCATCCCCTAGAGATTACCAAGAACTGACTGGGCAATACAGAATGACCTGCTGTATTAACTCTTTTCTAACAAAATCCTACATGAAATTATGTTGCATTTATTGAATGCAATGTTAAATGCTAGATATAATCTTTACAGTGTAATATTCTAAACTTAGACAAAATAATTGATAGTTAAATAGATGACACATTTCATTTCTCTGAGGGCAAGTTTGTAGTCTTTTACGGCTTATATAATGATAACTTATGGATTTCTCATTGTTGCCTACAACTATGTATATCATACAAATATATGTTATATGGAAAGCAATATAGAAATAACTTGAACTTAAAACAGTTAAGGCAGAATATTACAGAATTAGCCTTCACTCTATGAAAGTCTTACTTGTGATTGGCTTTTAAAAGGTGAGATCCTTTATTTTGTTAGAATTATTTATTTAATTTTATTCATTCATTCATTTATTTTAATTTGACCAGACACACACACACACACACACACACACACACACAGAAAAGGAGAAAGAGAGAGAGAGAAAGTGGGAAAGCAAGCCACCAGGTCTGGAATTTGAACCGTGATCAGCTATGTGGGAACGTCCAGCACGTTAACCACTACAGCACCTGCTAGTCCTGAGATCCACTTTTTAATAGTCTTTGCAGATTCACAGAAAAAATAGAGTTTTATAGAAAACAAATAACCCAGAGTTTAAAAACTGCCTGGTTCTAAGGTTTGACTATGTTATTTCTAGTTCTGTAATTTTGCCCTTGCCAAATGTCATAAATGGAATCATACAGCGTACAGGTGTGCAGCCTCTCATGACCAACTTATATTTGGGAGGATGTATGTACATAAGTTATATACAAATACTATACAATTTTATATAAAGGCCTCGAACATCCTCAAATGTTGATATTTGCAGAGGGTCCTGGAACCAGGTCCTCTATAAATACCGAGGGACAACTGTGTTAGTTTTTTTCTAGTAATAAGAAATATTGTGTCAAGAATATATAAAGTTCAGGGGACCAACAGTTAGCATAATGGCTATGTCACTGGATTCCCATGTAACTGATTGCGGTTTGAGTCCTGGACCCAGTGGCTTAAACTCACACGTGTGTATGCATGCCCAAGATCCCGAGAAGAGAATGGAAGAGAAGGGATTGTGGTATGGCCATCCCCCCTGGGGAGTGATTTCTCATTTTCTATCTCTCTGTCTCTCTCTGTCTTTATGGCAAGTGCTGTGTGTGTGTGTGTGTGTGTATTTATAAAGTTAAAAAGAAGCCATTTTAAAGCTGAGGTGTGTCCTGGCCTGTTTAGGGAAGCTATGCTCCAAACTTTATCTTCTAGACTGCCAAAATATTCAGACAAGTGAAGGAGAGATTTTGTCACAGAATGACCAGAAACCACTGCAGAGGCACAAGAAATATGAGAAACCAAGAAAATATCTCTCCCCTAAGGAAAAAGAACAATCCCTCCTCATCCATAGGCAGTACAGTAGAACTCATGGAAATGTCTGATAGAGAATTCAGAATATTTGTACTGACGAAACTAAACAAGATGCAAGAGCTGAGAGATAATTAACTCCAGAAGATGCAGGAGAAGAGAGACAATGAGTTCCAGGAGGTGTCGAAGTTCTTCCATGATCTGAAAGAGGAAATACACATCATAAAAAAAGAATCAAATGGAGCTATTAGAGATGAAGTCTGCCATTCAGGAAGTCAAAACCTCCCTCAAAAGTATTAAAAGCAGATTAGTGCATGCAGAAAATTGAATCTTGCATGTGGAAGGCACAATCTCTGATCTAGAAAAAAACAACCAAAAAAAAAAAAACCCTGAGAAAATAACCCCCCCAAAATGAGAATACTATACAAGAAATACTAGACATCATTAAGCGCCCAAACGTCCAGATAATCCATATCCCAGAAGCTGAGGAAACTAATAAAGGGCATTAATAATCTATTCCATGAAATCTTGGAAGAAAACTTTCCAAATCTAGAGGGGCATTCAAATATCCAGACCCAAGAAATACAAAGGACCCCTAATAGAATTAACCCAAGAAGATCTTCTCTAAGGCATGTCATAGCAAGACTGGCCAGAGCTACAGACAAAGACAAGATAACTAAAACTTGCAAGAGAGAAATGTCAGATTACTTATAAAGGTTATTCAATCAGGCTAACCTCTGACCTCTCATCAGAAACAATGCAAGCAAGGAAAAAATGGGAAAATATATTCAAAGTGTTAAGTGAAAAATAATTTCAACCAAGAATGCTATACCCAGCAAGGT